AATGAATAAATAAAATGTGCTATGTTACACAATAGAATGTTATTTTGTCATAAAAAGGAATAAAGTACTGACAGATGTGGCAACATGAAGGAATCATGAACACATTATGATAAATAGAAGAAACCTAGGTGTCCAAGAGGACAACATATGTAATGAAGATTATGTAGAATAACAAGTTATTCTACCTATAAAATAACATATTTTATAGGTAGAACAAAATGCATTGTCTGAAGCCTCCTGAAGCAGTAATAAATTTTAAAGTTCCTTCTGGATTGACCATATTAATTATATTGTTGTTGTTGTTGTGTGTCACATAAAAGACCACATTTGAGCCCACCTATATTAGATCTCCACAACAGAGATCTAGAGACAGATAATATATTAGTAGTTGCCTAGGTCTTGGAGAAGGGGGTTGAAGGGTAGGGATGATGGGTAAAGCATACAGGTGTGATGAAAATGTACACAGACGGAACTTAAAATCTTAAATGTACTTATCATCAAACTAGAAGGAAAATAAACATTCAACTTAAGAAACTACAGAAAGGCAAAAGAGCCTCAACCCCTACCTCCAAGCCTGCAACAATGACAAATGTGAAAAGGGCTTGGTTTCTCAGATAGGTGCAAGTAGCAGAAATGGGTGTTGTCATTAAGGGTTTAAACTGGCACACATTTGGAGGAAAATAAGCTAATTTCTATTAAATTTTACATGTCCAAATCTTTTGTCCTGTCTTTTTCACTGCTAGGAGTTTGTGCTACAAAATATCCCTATAAGTTTGTAGAGATATTGGTAAAAAATATTGTCTGAAATAGCGAAAAATTCAGAAGTTCATCAATAGGAAAACTATGAAATATTATGCAGTCATCTTTAACAAGTGTGTCAATGGGCCCAAAGTAGAATGTCAACTGAGAAAACATCATTTTTATAAAACTGTAAATAACAATAATACATAGAGAATAGGTTCTGAACTTTTCATTGTTGTCATCATCAGGAAACAAGATTTGGGGGACTTTCACATTCTCTATTATGATTTTCTGAACTATTTGGATTTTGTTTAACTTTGTATTACATTTATAATTAGGAAAAAATGGCAATATTTGAAAACATCAGATCAAATATATATCTTAGACAAGAGGACAACATTTGTAAACAAGAGGACAACATTTGTAAATAAGGTTATACAGACTAACAAGTTAGTTAAACAAACGCATTTTGTAGGCAGAACAAAATGCATTGTCAAAGCCTCCTCGAACAATAATCAATCTTAAACTTCCTTTTGGATTGACTCTATTAATTAAATACGTTGTGGTGTGCCATCAAGTCACTTCTGACTCATAGCAACTCTACAGGACAGGGTGGAAATGCCCTAGAGGGATTCCTAGGCTATAATCTTTATGGGAGCAAACCATCAGGTCTTCTTCCCATGAAGCGGCTGGTAGGTTTGAACCTCCAACCTGTTAATTAGCAGCTTAGTGCCGCCAGGGCTCCTACTTACATACAACTTTTATGAAAAAAAAAACAGACCCTCTTAGAGGAGCCCTGAAGAGCTCTGCTGTTAGCTGGAAAGTCAGTAGTTCAAGCCCTCCTGCTGCACCATGGGAAAAAGATGTTAGTCTGTTTCCATAAAAATTTACAGCCTTAGAAATCCTACGGGGGCAGTTGTACTCTTGTCCTATAGGGTTACTGTGAGTCAGAAGTAACTCATGGCAACCAGTTTGGTTTTTGGTTTTTATTGCCCTCTTAAGGGTGTGTACTGTCCTGGAGAAATCTATTTTTCATTTTCAGGAACAGAAAACAACCCAAGAAACTATGAATAAGGACAATCTATAGCTAAAAAACAAAGTAGTGTGAGGTTTTAAAAAACACTTGTTGTACTTTGTTTTATAATCTTATAAAATCTTCTAGTTAATGTACCAAAATAAATGAAAACTTTACCTACTACAAAAGACTACAATTAAATTTCAAAGGAAATATTACTGTGGTTAGTAGACTACAGATTTCAACTTACATGCTTTGAAAGTAAAACTGTACAACATGGAGCTTTACAAATCAAGCACTCATCCTTTTTACCTGTAAAATAAAAGCAAATGTTATTATATTATACTGATCAATGCTTTCAAATATGTCAAGAGCAGGCTTTCCATTATAATGCTTCTTCAGAAAATAAACAGGATGGTAGCACTCAAATGTTTTCACGTTCCAACAGTGGATGAAATGATGGGTGCGGATCCAGTAGAAAAGATTGAGTAACAATAGTTTTCTTCCCCTGCTTGGTAAATGTGTCCAAAAATGGTGACTGTAAAAATCAATAGTACTTAGGTGTAAATCTATCCTAGATTTTTTTTTTTCATAATTTGATTTTATAATGATATCTTAATTTGAAAGTTTTAACTATTCAAAATCAAAATAGCTCCTCAAATCCCCACCCAGGAGCTAAACAGGCCTTGTTTTTGCACCTCTCTGTCTCACCTCTACAACACTGCATAAGGTCCCAAAACAGTAACAGATCACTTCTTCATTTATTTAATACACATCTTCTTCAGTTCCCTGCTACATGTGTGGCAATGCAAGGAATTAACAGCGTGAAGGCTGATATGCTCCACTTCCCAGTATCCAACTACTTCACCTTCTCCAGTTCCTAGGTTCTCCCTCCCCCGAGATCCAGAGTGATTTCTTTCTCTCCTCTCCATGAAATTCTAATCATGACCTTGGAAAACCTGGACTTGACATGGCTGGCTATTAACACCAGCCTTGAAATTCCTGAACTTCTCTCATGGGATGACATCACCTGTGTTCTATGTCATTGCTGTCCCCCATGGCCATACCCTGGACCTCAATAGCTCTTCCCTATTTCAGCTAAATGGCTCTTTCTCTCCATTCTCTGGGATTTGCACTTTCTCACACAAGACAGTGTGAGAACTTAGACAAGTTCCATTTCTGCTCTGCCACGCTGGGACCCTGTGGCTGACCACTTGAGTGTCTTCGCTCCCTCCTTCTAGGGACACACCCAGCCAAGGCCCGAACCAGGGCAAGTCCAACTGCCGTCTTCTCCTCTTTTGGTCCAAGGCAGCTAAGAACAAGACAAAAAGTCAGTTTAACTGAGAAGTTGGATGGACAGGTTTATGGATTCCAATGTTGCTGAAGCATTACCAGGAAATCTTTCCACTTTTTCTGAGGTGACCTTTTCTTGTATGTTGATCTTTTATCCCGCCACTATGCTAAATCTTTCAATAAGTTCCAGTAGTTTTCTTGCTGAGTCTCTTGGGTTTTCTATACATAGGATCATATCATCTGCATATAGGAATAGTTTTACTTCTTCCTTACCAATTTGGATCCCTTTCTTGCCCTATTGCCCTGGCTAGAACTTCCAATACAATGTTGAATAGAAGTAGAGATAGAGGGCATCTTTGTCTGTTCCTGTTTGCAAGGGGAATGATTTCAGTCTCTCTACATTGAAAATAATGTTGGTTATTGGTTTGCATGTAAAAAAAAAACAAAACACAACTCACTGCCATTGAATCAATTTGACTCATAGCGATCCCCTCCATCAGTTTCCGAGGCGGTACCTCTTGGAAGTAGACTGCCCAATCTTCCTTTTGAGGAATGGCTGGTGGGTTTGAACTGCCAGCCTTCTGGTTATCAGTCAAATGTCTTAGGCATTTTGGATATATGCCCTTTATTATGCTGAGGAATTTCCCTTCTGTTCCTAATTTTCTGAGAGTTTTTATCAGGAATGGATATTGGATTTTATCAAATGCCTTTTCCACATCTATTGATATGATCATGTGATTCTTTTCCTTTATTTTACTTATGTGATAGATTACATTGGTTATTTTCCTAATGCTGAACCATCCTTGCATACCTGGTATGAATCCCAGTTGGTCATAATGTATTATATGTTGTTGGAGTCTATTGGCTAGGATTTCGTAGAAGATTTTTGCATCTATATTCATGAGGGATATTGGTCTATTGTTTTCCTTGCTAGTGGTATCTTTGCCTGGTTTTGGTATCAGAGTTTGAGATGGCTTTTTTTTTTAACCCTTCATTGTGTGGGATGTTCACATAAGCCCCCTTATATTATTGACTGAGAAAAAAAATAAACCTTCAGATATAGTTCATCTTGATCAATCTCCCTACCTTATCCTCTACACTTATCTACCACAGAACAACAGGATTCCCTCTGCTTCCTTCTTGCCTCAGAGAAGGCATCTTTCTCCAGCCTAACCCCTTTATCTGTATATTTATACTTATCCTTGTATCAGTAGCAGCTAGCCCAGGAATGTGCTAAAAATTACATTCTTTATGAGGAATCATAGCCACCTCTAGAATTGTCTCCTTCCTTCTCTTCCAGACACCTCCATTCCAAAAACATCCACACTTAACAGTACCTATGTTGTTGTTATGTGCCATTGAGCCAGACCTGACTCATAGTGACCCCTCCTTGGGTTTCTGAGATGGTATCGCTACGGAAGTAGATTGCCTAAACTTCCTTCCGAGGAGTGGCTGGTGGGTGTGAACCGCCAGCCTTCTGGTTAGCAGTCAAGTGGGTTTGAACCGCCAGCCTTCTGGTTAGCAGTCAAGTGCCTTAACACTACGCTATCAGAGCTCCTAACAGTACCTATAGTCCTGCCCATTTCTTTATTGCTGATTCTGCTGAAAGAATGGGCTGGAGTGCAAAAACTCCTCTTATGCACAATTATAGCCAGCAGATATTGAGTAAAAGATTATCAGATCTAACACACACACACACACACACACCAAAAAAAAAAAAAAAAACAACCTAAAAATTCTGTCTAGGGAGGTTAGATTAAGAAACATGAGAGACAATTATTTACAACTGATAGACAAAAGGGTTGGCACTTAATATGTAAATGTTGCTCTTAATTGCCATTGAATTGATTCTTATTCACGGTGACTCCCTTGTGTGCAGAGTAGAAGTGCTCCAGAGGGTTTTCAAGGCTGTGACCTTTCAGAAGAAGGCTACCAGGCTTGTGGTCTGAGGTGCCTCTGGGTAGGTTCGAATCGCCAACATAGAGGCTAGTAGTCAAGTACTTAACTGTTTGTGCCACTTAGATTCTTCAATATATCGATAGCACTTATGAATCAATAAAAAAGGATCCACTTCAATAAGAGGGCATGAGAAGATGTGAATACACAATTAGAAAAGGTAGAAACAGCTAATAAATATGAGGAAAAACAAATCAATGTCAGTAATAAAAGATAGGAGTCCCTAGGTGGTAGAAAATGGTTAATTCAATCAGCTACTAACCAAAAGGAGTCCACTGAGATGCACTGGAGGAAAGGCCTGGTGACTATTTCCCAAAAATTAACCACTGACAATCTTTTAGAGCACAGTTCTCTTTTGACACACATTCAGTCACCAAGAGTCAAAAATTGACTCCTAGCTTTTGTTAGTGACCTTGATTTTTTTTTTTTTTTTTTCATGTATTGGTTGTTTAAACCTTTGCTGATTGTTTTCTCAAATCTTCTTAAAAAAGTGGTTTTCTATTTAAAAAGAACCAAACTCACTGCCATGGAGTTGGATCCAACTCATAGTGACCCCTCCTTGGGTTTCCGGGGTGGTATCACTACAGAAGTTGATTGCCCAGTCTTCCTTTCGATCAGTGGCTGGTGGGTTTGAACTGCCAGCTTTATGGTTAGCAATAATGCCTTAGGCACTACACCACCAGAGCTCCTATTAAGATACACAAAATTGGGAAGACAACAGGCACTCTAATACTGATGCTGCTAGGAATATAAATTAGCACACTCTTTCTGGAGGGCAATTTGATATGTGGCAATTTTAATGTATAAACCCTAAGTCTAGCAATTCAACCTTTAGGAACACATCTAAAGGAGAAAATCAAGTAAACAAATAATACATACAGGGCTGCTTATTTAAATAATAGCAAAATATTAGAAAATATAAAGGCCAAAAGGGAATCAGTTAAGCAAACTATGGTACAGCCACTGAAAGTTATACTATGCAATCTCAAAAGGACGATGGAAATCAGTTTTTAATTTTCCTTTTTTTTTGACGCAACTTCTTTTAATATGAAAAGAGGCCCATGCTCTATTAAGCAATAAAAACAAATGATTAAATGTTACACCAAAACCAAACTCACCACCATCCAGTTGATTCTGACTCATAGTGACTTTACATGACAGAGTGAAAAAAGTGCCCCATACTGCCTTATTGTTCTCCTGTGGAGCGGCTTGCAGGTTCGAACCCTCCACGTTTGGTTAGTAGCTAAGTGCTGTAACCCCTGTGCCACCAGAGAATCTACATATCATTTTAATCATCTGTATTTATACTAAGACAGGACGGCAGGCTGTCAGACTTCCCAGGCTCAAAATGAGCGGGTTTCTCCAGGCATTTTGTTCCCCTTTCAAGCGCCCTGCTGGCCTCTGCTTCTCCCAAAGCCCAGAGGCAGCCACTGTTTGCTGAAGAGATAAGAGGAACTAGGAGATGGGGCACCCTGGTCACCCAGGCCAAGCGGTCCCCCTCTCACAGTCCCTCCTAGTGTGCCATCTGCCCTGGGGGCGGCCCCCACCCCAGAGATGGCCTTTGGTGCCAGCAGGTCTGGAGTCCCAGACCTTCCACGAAGGCCCCTGTGGCCCTGACCTTTGTGGAGGCAGATGTCACAGTAAACATGGCCACAATTGGTCAAGCTGAAGCGGGAGGTCCTGTGGGGCGGCTGGAAGCAGCGATTGCAGAATACCCGGCTGGTCATACTGCGCCTGAGGCGGCACTGCCGCAGCCACTAAGGTCGGTTGCCACAACTATGCTAGGCCTCAAGGAAGCCTCTAAACCGATTCCCTGCGGTGTGTCGAGAGGGCAAATCTGCGCCTGCGCACGTTGAGAGGTTGGGGCGGGGCAGAGCTGACTAATGGGAAATCCAGGGATGCGCACACGCTGACACGCAAGTTTACATCTATGCACCAGGGCGGCTTGGAGCTTGCTTGGCAAAACTCAAAAGTGGTCAGAATGTACCAACCTGAGAAGGAAGGAAAGCGTGAGTGATTTTTCTGGGAGTTAGAGTTTGTTTTAGCTGGAAGTAGGGGATAAAAGGCACACAAATGAGGGTCTGGCACCTGCCATTCTGTCATTGCAATCCTCGAGAATTTTTCTGTACAACAGCATGTAGTCATCCACACCCAGATCCCCATATGGCCCAACAAAGGGGGGTTCTGCGATGGTAGTACATGCGGTGAGGGAATTGCAAGGTAACCATTCTGAAAAGACATTGACAGCCTCAGTCCTGAGGTTGGCCTGCCAGGCTGGGGAGGTGCACAGGGAGGCTGAAACCCTTTACCCTAGCAGGCAGATAAGTCTGTGGCCAGTGAGGACCAGGATAGAAGAGTGTGCTGGGGCAGCCAGTGGGCAAAGAGACAGGAGGCTTATCTGTGCCTGGAGGACCACAGTGGACTAACAGATCCTCAGATCCTGTGGAACTGTGCAGATGCAGAATAACCTGATTCTCCCATAGAGGTGAATCAGGGCAGAGGTCGCTAGGGCTCCAACATCCCTAGTCCTGACTTCTGCGAAATTGTTTACCCTTCAAAACTTAAAAAATGAAATTACCATTGGGGGAAGCTGGGTGTTCTGGTTACCTCGTGCTGATCTGACAAGAATATACCACAAATGGGATGGCCTTAACAAACAGGAGTTTATTCTCTTATAGTTTGGAGGCTTTAAATCCAAGTTCAAAGTGCCAGGCTCTAGGGGCTGGGTGAAAGTCCCTCAACCTTGGGCTTTAGCTTCGCCTCCTGCTCCCAGCCCACTGAATCTGAAGACTTTTCTTCACTCAGCTGCTAGCTGCTGAGGCTGACCAGCCCAAGGTTGACAAGTAAAAAGGCACAGCCCTGATGTTACCAAACCACACGGCAGACCATTAATTCAAGTCCATTGAAAGTCCCAAGGTCAGCAGAATATGGCAGGCTGCTGAAAAACAACATGGCTATACACAGGGTTCAAGTGTCTCATAAGCTAGAGACCATTCCCAAAGCTGCTGCTTATATACGGGAAGCAGACCACATACCCAGGGGCACTCAGCTGCTCCCAGTAGATCCCACCATGAAGGTGATTACCAGTCTCATCATGGGGAATACTACATCCAGCTGCCCAGCCACTCAATCAGGCCTAGCCAAGTTGACACACAAACTTAACCACCACACTGGAAGAAGGAACTCTTTGTATCATCTTAGAAACTTCCTGTGAGCTCATTTATGGAGGTTGCTTTTTATAAAAATTACACTTCACAGATTGTTCTCCCCACCCCCAGCAATCTCCTAGCAACAAAAGACAAAATAGATGTATCTCATTAATATTTAAAATGTCTAACAAAGGACAACAAAGTGAAATAATAACCTACGCAATGGGAGAAGATTTGGGGAACCATATATGAGATAAGGGTTTAATATCCAGAATAAAGAACTCCTAAACTTAACAGAAAGTCAACCCAATTAAAAAAAAAAAAAAATGGAATAAGGACTCCAGTAGATATTTCACTAAAGAAGATATACAGATGCCCAAGAAGCATATGAAGAGATACTGAACATCATTATCAATTAGAGAGATGCAAATCAAAACCACAATGAGCTATCTCACTCCCACTACAATGGCTAAAATAAAATAAACCAAACCAAAAAAAAGCCAGAAAACAAAAAATGTTGAAAAGGTTGTGGAGAAATTTGAACCTTTGTCCATTACTAGTGGGAATGCAAAGTGGTATTGTGGAAAACAATTTGGCAGTTCCTCAAGAGTTAAACGTAGTATTACCATATTACCCAGCAATTCTGCTACTCAAGAGACTTGAGATGCAAAAAGACACATGTACACTAGTGTTCATTGTAGCACTATTCACAACAGCCAAGAGGTAGAAACAATCTAAATGTTCATCAGTGGATAAGTGGATAAACAAAATGTGGTATACACATGCAATGAAATATTACTCAGCCATAAAGAAAAATTAAATCCTGATAGGACATAGATGAACATTGAAAACATGCTGAGTGAAAGAAGTAAATCACAAAAGGACAAATGTTATTTAATCTCATTTATATGAAATAACAAGAATAGGCAAGTGTCTAGTAACCAAAGTTTATTAAGGGTTATCAGAGGTGGGAGGGAGGGTAGTAGGGGAGCCATTGTTTGAGATGCAGCGAGTTTCTCTTTATGGGAAATTTGGCAACTATTATGGGTGATGATTACCCAACATGATTAGTGTAAATGATATCACTAAAATGTTGACCTGGCAAATGTTTTGTTACATATATTTTTACAAAATACATATACACCAGAGATGTATACCAGCTCTGTCCAGTACAGTAGCCGTGAGCCACCTGTTATCATTGAGTCCCTAAAATGTGATTAGTCCAAATTGAGATGTACTGTCAATGTAAAATACTCATGGGGTTTCCAAGCCTTAGAATGAAAAAAACAATATAAAATATCTCAATACTTTTTATATTATTGCATGGTAAAATGATATATTGATATATTGGTTTAAACATGTCACTAAGACTAATTTTATCTTTTCTTTTTACTATTTTAATGTGTTGACCCCAAATTTTTAATTACATAGTCACATTTAATTTCAATTGCACAGTGGTGATCTATAATGAATTTAAAATAACAATTAGGTGACAGGGCCTTTCTATAACATTTGGAAGCTATTCGTTAAACTAACATTTTATCAATGTTATAATCCTGGTCAAATAGATATTTGATTGCAATGTCTGATGTCTTTGAAGTCACATTAAAATAATACATAATTATACATGCTTTTTGATTTGTTAACTCAAACATGCAAATTAGCAGGTAGTTTATTTGCCTTTATGAATAATATTTTAAACAAGCTTTTTAGCTATGAAGAAGTCTTTAAGGTACTTCATCTGGAAAATTCCCACTGAGATCAGGATTAATGTTTGTGCAAAAGCCCACCATAAAACATTGCTGTTTGTATCTTCACTGGTCAGTCGGAAATTCTCTTCACGGTCCTATGCAGAAGGGAAATAGATAGGATTAGTTTTTAAAGTACTTAGACCAAAGAATTGGGGGAGGTGTTATATGCACCCAAAGTATTTAGTATTACTAATTTAATATCTTGTGCCAAAGTACAGTATCTGATTTTCTAAGCCAGAGGCAAACACCAGAGAGTAAGAATCAACCTTATAAAACACATTTTTGTAATTGGTGTAAGATAGTTATTACTTTATACATTTTATTTTGCTTTATACATTATATTACTTTATACATTTTATTTTGCTTTATACATTTTATTTTGCTACCATCATTACCAAATGATGATAGATTTTTATGGATTGAATCCTTTAGTTTATGCCAAGCACTGTGCCAAGCACTTGCATGCCTTATTTAATTTAATTCTTACACCTGTTCTCATTTTCCAGCTATGGAAACTAAGGCTTAGAGATAACAGAGAGAACTGTGGAGCCAGATTTGAGCTCATTTCTGACCAGAGTCGATTGAGTGCAGGCACTGGGTAAACATACAATGTTACCAAAAGAAGCTGTTGATTTAGAAGTTGGGTATTCTTGAGCCTCTAAAAATATATGGAGTGCGTTTTGGTTGCTAAAGGAGTTTGTGTGGAAGCATTCATTCATTCATTCTATAATATTCATTTATTAAGCTCATACTGTCTGCTGCCAGGCCCTTTGCTGGGCACTGGGAGTAAAAAGGTAAAACAGTCTCAGTCCCCTGTCCTTCGAGAACTCACAGTCCAGCAAACAAAGTGAAAGACTGTGCTTTCCCTGCCCCTTGCATGTGTAACCAGTTCTAGCTTAGAGACAAAGACAGAGGAACAGGCAGTTCCTTGGTCCAGAGGCTTTGTCTCTGGAGAGTGTTCCTGGCAGAAAGAGAGAAAATAAGCTTAACAGGCAAACTGACCCTTTGATAGTTTTGTTCTTTGACTACTTGCTCAATTTGCTCAAGAAGATGTTCAAGCTTGAAGCTGACTTCATTAACTTTGTCCTTTGCTTGAGCAATGGCTGCATCAAGGTCATGTTCTCCAACTCGAATATCTAAATGGATCCTCTGTACAAACAGTAAAAGGAAGAAACGTAATGTTTTTAAAACAGTTCTATTCTTTTTCCTTCCTTTCTCCTTCTTGGTTCCTCCCATTTCTCTCTCCTTACTCTCCTGTCCCCTTCTTCGTGAATGGGGCTTTTGGCATTTAGAGTACTACTGCCTCATTCTCTCTCTGTTTTCCACCACTACTCTTCCTTATTCTGCTCAGTTTTTCTTGATAAAAATAATGCAATAAGTGGTATCCTACTGACCTGAAAGCATATTTGTGTCTCCCTGAACATAAAATTTATTAGGCAAATACTTTTGGTACTGAAAAAATTTGATGTTCTCAGGGAGTTTTTCTTTAGTTATAACTCAATTTGTTACGGTAAAAAATAAAATCTATTCTCAGCATAATTAGGAAATTGCCAGTCATCACCTAGTCGGAGTTTTATTTATTAGAACCCACTGCCATAGAGTTGATTCTAACTCAGAGTGACCCCCATAAGGTTTCCAAGGCTGTAAATACTTACAGAAGCAGACTGCCTCATCTTTCTACTGTGGAGTGGCTGGTGGATTTGAATTGCGTACTCTTTGGTTTGTAGCCCAGTGCCTTAACCACAGTGCCATCAACCAAAACCAAACCCACTGCTATTGAGTCAGTTCTGACTTATAGCAATGCCCATAGGATTTCCCAGGCTGTTCATCTTTACTGAAGCAAACTGCTTAATTTTTCTTCTGTGGAGTAGCTGGTGGGTTCAAACTGCCAACCTTTTGGTTAGCAGCTGAATGCTTACCACCATTCCACGAGATCTCCTTTGTGTATTAGAAGTACATTATTAACTTGCTCTTCTGCCCTTGCTTGTTTTCAAGCCTGAAAACCATGGTTCTGTTAATTCTCTTCCAGCTCTAATTCAAACCCTTTAATCAATTCCATGGGTTTCCTTCAAAGGAGCTCGGTAGCATAGTGCCTAAGGTACTTGACTGCTAAGCAGAAGGCTGAAAGTTCAAACCCACCAGCCACTCCTCAGAAGGAATATTGAGCAATCTACTTCCATAGTGATACTGCCTTGGAAACCCAAGGAGGGGTCACTGTGAGTTGGGTCCAACTTGACGGCACCTAACAATGACAACAACCTTCAAAACCTTTCCAAGCTCTCTAATGTCCTCTTTAGTGGCTGTGCCTAGATCTGGATACAGGATTTTATTAAGTTTCTAGCCAATATGAGTATAATGGTGCTATGTATCAGTGTCATGCTTGAGTTGTTGTTGTTGTTGTTATGTGCCGTCGAGTCGGCCCCGACTCATAGTACTCACATTATGTTCATCAACAAGGACCTGAAAGACACATACTCACCAGCTTACTCCCTCCAAATGACACAAGCCTTGTAGAATTAGATTCTAAGCAAATGATGTGTTCTCCAGGTGAATGTGAAGTAAAATAGAATGTTCCTTCTGGGCCATATAATTTTGACAGTAATACCTACAATTTGAGGATTTCCACAGTTTATTATTCTCTACTTTCTGTTCTTAAAAATAAACTTCCTCTATAGAATCTAGTAAAAATTGTATAATTCCAAAAGAAGAAATAAAATGGTTAATGAACATACGTAAAGATTTTAAGCTTTGCTAGTAATCATAAAAGTACAAACAACAAGCTACCTCTAGTTCTTTATCAGATTGGTGAAGATTTAAAAGTACCCAGGGTTCGTATGCAGAAATAAGCACTCTCCTAATACTATTGGTGGGAGAAGGTAAATTGGAAAAAGTATTTTGGAGAGCAGTTTGACAATATATATCCAATGATCAAAAATTAAAATGTCTATAACCATTGACCCAGCAGTTCTACTTGTAGAAATTTATCCTACTGAAATGCACAGGTACACAAAGATACACTTAAGAGGATATTCAGTGTGATATTATTTGTAATAGCAAAATTGCGATCATGAAAAAAATGTCAATACCTTTTAGCAGAGGATTGATTAAATAAACTTAGGCAAAGCCAAATAGAAACTTTTGTTGTTGTTGTTAGTTGCCATTGTGTCAGCTCTGACTCATAGCTTCCTCATATTCAACAGAATGGAATGTTGCCCCGAACTGTGCCATCTTCCCGGTTGTTGGTGTGTTTCAAAGAGAATATTAGGTCTACTTCTGCTATTATAGAAAGGTCTCCATAATATCTGTTGTAGAGCAGTCTGTAGAGTATCTTATTTTTATAAAAATTACTATATAAAAAGCATGTAGGAGCTCTGGTGGCATAGCACCTAAGGCATTTGACAGCTAACCAGAAGATTGGCAGTTCAAACCCACTAGCCACTCCTTGGAAGGAAGATTGGGCAATCTACTACTATAGAGATACTGCCTTGGGAATCCAAAGAAGGGTCATTATGAGTTGAATTGACTCGACAGCAGTGAGTTTGAGTTTTGGTTCTATATATATATATATATATGTATATATATATATATATA